GAATAGGTTCACTCTGTTGTACTCATTACATATTCTGGTATTAGTTTACACTCTCAAATCAACTCCTTCAAAAATCCATGTTGCTAATTGGTCGAAGAAGTTTTAGTGGCAAAGTTTCAGTAAATGCTTCTCCTTCTGCTGCGACCAACACACGTTGCTCTTCTTGCGATTGTACTCGGCATATTCTTGACCACGGTGAACATCTACCAATTGCGTTCTCTGCAACATCAACATTACACGTATGCTGCATTCGTTTCTCTTCTCATCTCCACTTCATGCTAAAACTTCTACTTTTAGCTTCTTCAACGCTGATCGTTTGTCTGAACCAACTAATCTCTCGAAGTCAATCGCAGAAGATGATGCAAGAAAGCCGATTGCGTGGATTAAAGGCGAACGAGTAATATTCAATAGAATCGCTTTATAAACGAATAGTTTCAGTTGAGAAATCCTTCAACAAGATTCTACTGAACAGAGTTCCTTCAAAAACCTTTAATGCAGAGCAAATGTAGATGACGTTGAGCAAAATAATCACCATTCCTAAACGGATGATATTTTGATCAGCAATTATGATTTACTTACTTATCCAGCCCATAGTAGGACATCGTTAGCTCTAGTAACGCTTCTCAAGTAGACAAAAATTTTTATTGATTTGTTGAGACCTTCAGATGGAATCCGGCTATTTATCTCATGTTATTTGGGTTTTCGAACGTCTTGGCTACAAGATTCTAAAGGGTGAACAACAAAAACCATCAAATGAAATCGAATTCGATGTCTTATGGAGTCATGAATACCCCTTCTCAAAAAACGAGCTGAAACCCTTCCTTTCCAAACTCAAACCATATCAGAAGATAAATCATATACCCGGATCTGGATTCTACACCAGTAAAGTAAGTTCAGTTATCTGATTATGAGCATTCCTCTGTTGTTCGATCAGTGCACAGTTTTTTGCTCTATGTTTGTCTATTGATATCAATTCAATAAAATTCATCTGGTTGAACGGCAGCCTTTTTAATGGTGTGTACAAATCCTCGACGGGATGTTCATTGCGAGAATTCAGGTGAATCTAGCAACTACGGATATTCTCGAAGGAATACCGAAAGCTTTCAAACTGCCCACTGAAAAGGATGACTTCTTGGAATATGTGAACGCGAATGCAGATTTGTTGTGGGTGAAGAAGAACAACGAACATCGCGGCGTACGAATACGTCAAATTGATGATCTCGACCTGAATGAAGCTGACTCCTTCGTCCAGCAATACATCGCCGATCCCTTGCTCATCGATGGAAGGTATTTCTAATTATTTCAAATCTCTTCATATCACTCTCCTGTGAGGAATAAATTGGTTATTGCGTGTAATTGCATTTCAGGAAGTTCGATATTGGCATATATACGGTAATAACGTCGGTGATGCCACTTCGTGTTTACGTTTATGAAGGTGATGCGTTGTTACGTTTCTGTCCTGAAGACTACTATCCATTCGATTCGGAAAATGTTAACAAATACGTGATTGGTGACAACTATACGCCAACCTGGCAGGTCAGTCTCAACTGATTTTGATAATGAATGCTATCCTCTAACCCAGAAGCTTTGGACTAATCTCATAGATATGAAATAAGCGATCGCATCAGTTTCAGATGCCATCACTTAAAAAGTACTATGTTGATGAGCAGATGACTTTTCGAGAGACACTCAACGCCTATTTGCGTTCGGTCGGCAAGGACGCCGACAAAATTTGGGAATCAATGAAAGATACAATTGCTGAGGTGAGATATGAGAGTACGTCTCAAGTATTCATATCTTATGACTCTTTCAGGTTTTTCAATCACAACAAACCAATATGCTCGCAGCAGGCAAGCGCTTCACTGATAAAAGGTGATAAATTGAGCATATTGCATGTGAATAGAGATAGATAGATGTTCGTTACTTCCACTTTCAGGTCATTCTTCGAGCTGAGTCGCTTCGATTTNATGGAGGTTCGAAATTAATTGCTGCTTCATTAATTCATTTGTTAAGTAAACTTATTCAAAACGTTCGAATTTTTCAATTCTTTTTCTGGCTCTATCGGAAGAATTAAGAAATCTGAGCCACACAAACAATGCATTCATTTCTTGATTAGGTGTTTCGCATTGATCATTATGATCATTTTTATTGATCTCATTGATCATAGAATTGATTAAATAATACTCAACATAAATAACACTGATCATTGATTTCGTTATAGTCGAATATGTCACCGAACCTATGGTCGGGTCACTTCATTGAAAACCAATTACTCTATGAACAAGTCATCATTAATGTGCTCTCGCTGGTTGGTATTGCAACACATCTGCATGGACAATCAATTCAACATAGTTTGTAAGTTGGCATCTGATTATTCATAACAAGATGGTGTGTAAAATGATCACTTCTGCAACTTTGCACGTACAAAAGCAACGAAGTTGCAGTCGTGACAAGAACGTTCGGCAGATGGAAGTATCTGATCGCGACTTGAGGGTGTACGCTGAAGAATGCGCTCCGCAAGGTGCTCTTTGCTATGGCAAGGATGGCTGCAGCAAACAGCTGGTGAGTTGTCTCGATTTTCGATACCAGTTTGTGCTTTGCATTGAAATTGATGTTGTCCTTCACTTGAGGGAGCTGGCCTCCATCATGTTCACCGAGCATTCCAACAGTGCCACCAACTTGACGTGTTCTCGAATCGCATCCAACGAGATTTTAAGACGTATCAATGAAGATCAAAATGAAAATCTTCAGAGCGATACTCTAAACAGAATATCATCTAAATCCCATCGATAAAGTGTTGTTTAGAAATGTCAACTATGCGGTCACTGTCTCAATTATGAACTGAAATCAATTCTACGCAGTGCATACGAGGAACACCTCCATCGACGCAACATGCGTAGAATACTGCCGGCTACTATTCACAAACCAAAACACGTTGCAATGAAATACTCTCAGTTAGATCGCTTGCTGATCTTGTGGTTCGATGCTAAATGCCGTCAAGATAGAGTATGGTGCTCATAGCTGTCTTATTGTTTGCACATCAGACTAACTTTTCGTGTACATATTCATTACTGCTGCAATTCTAAGAATGCCGCAACAAAATTATGACTCTTTCTTTGCGGTTATTCGCGGGGGAATTCCTAATTAATCGTAAGATAGTTATTCGAAGTGATTGCGCTGATTTACCATGAGCAAGTGAAGTTTTATGAAGACTGATAGGTATGATCGAGCAAAGTTTTGGTAAGTAGATCATTACTGATTGATAATCAACTTTATTATATCTCAGGGCTGTGGTATTGCATGGAAAATACAACACAAATACCGCATAAAAGACTTTAGAATTCCAAATGAATTGAGAATCAAAACACAAACGTTCACACTGAACAAATAAACTTGTGACCAAATAACTCTTCGTTCTTCATCAACGTTATTGACTGGTTCCACATTGTTCATTTTAAAACATTTCAAAATCTTATCGAGAGTCTCATCGCTGTTATTATTGTTATTATTATTACTATTATTATTATCATTATTATTATCATTATTATAATTGTATGATCATCATTCATGTGAATAAATAACAAGCAACTACTCATTAATTTATTGCTTATTAAGACATCTTTTCACCATCGTAACAACATCTTGTGGTCTCGGCAATGCGGCTGCTTCGAGAGGAGCAGCATATGGCATTGGTACGTCCACACCGGTCACCCGCAAGATCGGAGCGTCCAGGAAGCCGAATGCATCCGATTCAGATACCTACAAAACTTATCTCTCAAAACCTCCATCACCGTAAAGTCGTGTTCATCGAAAAGGTTGTCGTCATAAACCTAAGGGATGAGTCTCAGCCTGAATCTGATTTACCCGCTTCCTTCCATAAACACGTTATTATTCCTATTGGTTACCATCAATACACTACTGCAAGTGTATGTGAATAAAATGCTAAGTATGAGTTGAAACGACGAACCCTCGCACTGATCTCAGCACCAACTCCGCAGTTCGGCCATCCACATTCGACAGTGACCAGATGATTCGTCTTCATTACAGACTCTTTCACTGTTGCGAAGTCAAGCGGTCGTAGAGTACGTAGATTTATTACCTTGAACCATTTGCGTTATTCATTATTATTCCATTTTGAGGCGATAGACAATTCTGCTCGGAAGATTACATTCATGAAAATACACCAAGTTTGTGATATTAACCTCACAGTCGATGCCAGCCTTGGACAATTCTTCAGCACCCTTCAACGAGATATCCACACCGATGCCGACTGAGACAATCGTGATGTCTTTACCCGGTCGTTGAATTTTCGCCTTTCCGAATGGTATCAAGAAATCGGGCGACTGTGCCTCGGGTGAAACCGGGAACTTCATACCGTAGAGGATCTCATTCTCCAAGCAGACAACTCAAAATAGAATTGAACTGAATTCATGTAAATGATTCGAGATAATCAGCGAAACGAAACATGGAATTGGTGATAATCGAACAAAAATTGTTATTTTGCTGCAGCACGCCAACGCCGTCAACATACCTGGGTTATCGTCACGAACTGCTGATTTCAGAAGACCTCTTGCATCTTCACAGTCGTATGGTACCACAACCTGAAATTAATCATCACAAGTTTCATCTATTTCTTTGATTTAAGTTCTCAATTATAGTAAACTAAAAATTATAAAAAAACCTTCAGGCCAGGAACATTCATGAACCAGGCACAAAAATCTTGACTGTGTTGTTGTGCGACACCAACAGCTGCACCGTTCGCTCCTCGGAACACAATTGGAACATGATACTAAAATTGAATGCTGTTGCAAATATAACTGACTGCATCAGTCAAGCAAAAATCAGTAAATATATTCTGAAATGCTTGTAGAGAGCAACTCGTAATAAATGAACACCAACTTTTCCAGCAGTCATGTAATGTGCCTTGGCAGCACTGTTGATGATGTGATCGATACCTTGCATCGAGAAATTGAATGACATGAACTCGCAGATCGGTCTGAGGCCATTCATCGCAGCACCCACCGATAAGCCAGCCATACCCATCTCGGTGATCGGTGTGTCCCAAACGCGATGGTCGCCGTATTTCTTCCACAACCCTTTCGAAATCTTAAGAAATCACTTGCTAATTTCTTATCGAATCACCGAAATCAATATGACGACAGATCTTCCAATGAAAATCAACATGATAAACCTTATAAGCACCGTCATACTGAGCCACTTCTTCACCGATCAAGAACACGCGCTCATCGCGTGCGATTTCCTCGTCCAGTGCTGCGTTCAACGCATCTCGAACGGTCACATTCAGTGTACCTGTGGCCAATCGTCGTACGGACTGTTCGGCCGCTACACCCAAATTCACAAGACGTCCTCCGCCCAACAGACGCATCATCGATCCGTTGAAGGCCATCGTTGATCTGATCGATAGGCAAAATTTGAAAATTGAGATCAACAGATCAAATCATGAAGATTTCATCAAGTGATTTAATTGTCACAGAGATAATATAGCATGATTGAACAAATCAACGATAAACTCATACGACTGATTACATAAGCTAAATGGATTCCTTCGGCTAAGGTTGTGATCAAGTTATTGGATTTGAGAAAACATATCTTGTGATTTTTTGTTTGTGTAATTTCTCAAAATTATTCTCACGCAATGCGAATTCAATCATGAAAACGCTGCTGTTGGTTCGTTGAATATAAGAATTAGTAATCGATGAAATTGATGGAATGCAACGAATGGCAGTGATAGATGAAGGAATTGGGATGACTGAACGAAAAGACGAAAATGAAGACGAATCAAAGAATGCTTTCATGTGGAATGAATCAAATGCCGAGTGGCGGTGTGAGCGAGAGGAAATAAAAAATTGACTATAGTCATAAAACAAGTCGTAAAACTATATTATGAAATCAAATCACAAATGTGGCTCCAACTATGCATCACAGGTCACCGACAAACATTTTCGCATATGCAAACAGACAAATGCATAAGTGCATACAAAAATTGAACCTCTGAAATATCTCTATGGGCAATCAGTGAGAGGGCTCACGGAATATTGATAACGGACAAGCCTTGAGCGCTGCTGCCAGGCTCGTTGATGAATAACGTCTCATAAAACGAGCAATCTGTGTGTAAAGCAAATGGATAACTAGGCTCGGCTTATGCTTATGCTAAGGTTTTTTCGATTTGTTCGCTTCCACAGCAAAACAAAAAAAAACTGATCCTCTCACAGTGCATATGCTACGTGACTTTCGGAAGATTCTAAAATTGGCTTTATATCCACCAGAAGACTAGCAGCATAATATAACAAACAGCTGATGTGAATGAGGCACACAAATGCAGTTGAATTTAATATCTCAATAGCGTTACATATACAGAACCAGTTCACGAAACTGTATCAGATTGTGTCGAATCGAACAAATGATTAGGTAAACAAACAAAAAAATTGAATATTTACGTTTAAACGGCAAAACGTTCAAAACTAATCACTGGATATAAGTATGTAATCATGTTTAAGTACTAAAAATAAACACCAATTTGGATGCTTCTACAATAAAACTTCTGTAGTTTCATTGTAAGCATGCACTTCTTCGTATGGTTGAGTGCAAAGGGCTAAAATTATGATATTGAACACGAGGTTTACTTGAAATTGAGCTGAGTGAGTTCATCCGAAAATGAGTGGAACGTATTGGGTGATCCATGAATGAGTGATTATGTAGACAATTGATCGAACGAATAAATGAATGCATGTATAAATCACAT